ACATAGACCCTACCAGGCGGGTCGGGAAGGCGGGCCTAGGCGGCCAGGTCGAGCAGGCGGGTTGCTGAAGCGTGCGTCCTGCATGAATCGCGAGGAAATCAGGAGTGACAGCGCGCTTCCCAAATAAATCGTGAGGGAATCCACAGCCAGAGCGTGACTCCTGAGCGTCGAGGGCGCGACGTCTGAATCAATTGCGCGGAAATCCCACGCGAGAGCGCGATTCCTGCTTACGTTGTCAGTAAGTCCCGCGCGAGAGCGCGATTTGGGGATATATTTTGTGAGAAACTATCAGGCGGGAGCCGTTGTTGTTGTTGTTGTTGAACATTATTAATTCTAAAGAATAATTATTGTTGGGGCCCCTGGTGCACGGCCCCCCTGCGCCGCCTAGGCCGCAGCTACATTTACATCATTTTCGTGAGGAAGCCTCAGGTAATACGATGTCATCAAGATCCGGTTGTTTTGTTGTAATCCGTTTTCCCTTGCAAAAAACACTATAAAATGACATTTCTTGTTCTAATATAATCAAATTTCAAGAATCCCTTGCAAAAAATAAGGTAAAGTGGACATTCGCGCGCGCAAGACGAAATCCTTCCAAAACCTTAGTGTTCGCAGCGATTTTAACATAAAAACATCAAAAAACCAATGGTTTTTCAACAAAAAATTGTCAAAATCTCATCCCGCGCGCTCTTGCGGATTCGTAGGAAACCCAACACTTTTTAAACATTTCTGTCAAACGGGCTTTTGCGAGCAACTTTTGCGAACTTCTGCGACAACGGTTGCGCACCTGCCAGGGCCATCATCCCTGTCAAATAATACCATGCGGGACACATTCGTTTTTTCTTCGCGCGCGCACGCCGAAATCTCCAAAAACCGTATCATGTGTATCATGTGTATCATGTACCATATGCATCATATGCAACAGATGTTCTGTGGAAGGCTTAACAACTTCTGTGGGTTAACAAGGCTTAACAACTTCTGTGGGTGTACGAACGTAGGCTTAACAACTTCTGTGGGTGTGTACTCCACGCCAGTGTAGTAGCCACGGTCGTCCGCAGGCCACGAAGTGAAGTGTCCGAACGTCATAGGGCGGGAAGCTGGGTGTGGGTGGTGGCGAAGAGTCGTGTGGATATTTGGTAGAGCTTGCACTGCCCCCCCACAAAGTGGGGGTATTGGCTGGCGTCGCATGAAAACCCTGGCACTGGTGAGAACACTGAGCGTTCGGGTAAAGTGATTGTTGTTGTTGTTGTTGTTGTTGTTGTTGTTGTAGTTCGAGGCACAACAACCCAATTTGGTGACACCCAGCTTTCCCTTTTGCAAAATCAGGGTGCGAGCCCCAGGACAAACACTATGATTAGATATACAGTTGCTACGGGGGAAGGGGGATCAACAATACTTATTCGCTCGAAATGAGGGTTCAACAACACCACCACCACCACCACCACTACCAACAACAACAACAACAACAACAACAACAACAACAACCGCAACCACAACCACAACCAGGACAATAGCAACAACACCAAACGCAGTAACAAAACCAGCAACAGCAACAACAGCAACAGCAACAGCAACAGCAACCGCAACAGCAACATCAACAGCAACACCACCATCACCAACAACAACACCCATGTTAAGACTGATCGATTTTACCTACCCGCGTACCATTCAACACGTATATCCGAAACCCTCGGTGCCCGCCTTCTTCGCTTTCGATTGTTCTCCCTCTGGGGGTATATCTTCCTCACCTGCTGCGTAAAATTGGTGCAGACCTTGAAACAAGGCGAGCGAGGACGGATGAAACACGGGATGAACAGGAGGGCTGCGAGGAGCAGAAAACACGTGGCAGAACCAGACGGGCCCATCGGGCGGGCACGGGCACACATGACTGCCCACGGCACGCGACGGGACACGAGATTCTTCCGACGGCAACATGGCCCCCCAAAACCACCAGATTTTTTATCTGCGGGGCGAGAGCGAGCCTCTTCTGGTAAAAGCTAGGCGGGCTGCGCGCAGCTTGAATTAGGGAGACAAGGCAAAACCACAGGACACAAAGGGCACCCCGTCGAGACCCCTACCTCGGTCACCCGCGGCCGACCCGCAGCCCCGCGAAGGGGGGCGCGCATCGGACGGGACGACAAGGGTATCCGACTGGCCGCGCCGCCCGTGGCGCAAGCATGGCGCGCCACCCGCGCCCAGCTCCCTCCGGAGGCGACCGCGCGACCTGTCGCCGTGGCAGAGAACCGAAGGACAAGGGCGCGGCCGCGGACGTCGCAAACGGGAGGACGCGCAGACCACCCTCCCGCAGGAGAGCGACCTGTCGCCATGGCCGCGGACCGGAGAACAAGGGCGCGGACGCGGACACCACAAACGAGAGGACGCGCAGACCACCCTCCCGCGGCAAAACGACCTGAAGCACCGCGGCACAGCGGCGGCCACCGAGCGACGCCCCGAACGCAGGACGCACAGGGCGCCTGCCCCGCGCCCCACGGCCCCCGTCGCGAAGTCGCCGCGGGCGAACGCGCAGATCTCGGCGGCAACGGGGCGCGCAGTGCACCCTGCCGCGGGTTGCGTTTGACAGGGGACAACGCGATTTGCCTGGGCCTAGCAGGGTGCAGCAGAAGCACCCTGGACCGAGAGCGACTCAAGCATGACCTAGCTGGCACCAGGACTCAACGGCTGCGCCTCGCCAGGTCCACAATGGTTCAACGGGGCCAACCTGGGCCGCCACGGACGAGCACCCAACATTACCTCGTATGGCCTAGCAGGATTCAGCCAGACCTTGCGTAGGGAGATGCAATGGAGATTCGTCCACGAGAAAGCCACCGCAAGAAACCCAACCCTGAAACCCGCCAAGGTTTCTTGGTCCAGGGTTTGGTTTCTTGCGTTACGGCAGCAGACGAAGTAACCTGAGGACTCTGATCCACAACCTCCAAGCACGGTGGCGGGATGGGCCGACGACCGTTGTACACAGTCGGGCCGCTGACCTCAGGAACGATAGATGAGGAACGAGGGCCCCTTTTTCTCAAATGTGTCCATGAAATCAGAAGGATTTGTCTTCGCGATTAGAACCCCGCCCCCTTCTGCCAACATACCATGGAAAACCCGCCCCCCTCCTCCCCCGCTGCTCCAAAATCAAACGCAGAAACGCAGCTCGCGAACAACGTGTTCGGAACGCGAGGGACTCGGGCGCGGAACTGGGCCTTAACGTGACCACTTCCCGATCCGGTTGCGCGCGTGGGCCCCAACTCGCACCGCGCAAAAAACACCGGGAGCTCGCGTAGGGTGCTGGGCCTTAACATGACAATTTTCAAATTCGGTTCCGCGCATGGGCCCCAACTCGCACCGCGCAAAGAACCGAAGGGGTCGCTTCGGGGGACTGGGCCTTGAAGCGACCACTTCCCCATTCGGTTGCGCGCGTGAGCCCGAATTCTCACCGTGCAAGGAACGCTGGGGGCTTGCGTGGGAAACTGGGCTCCACTGTGGCAACTTCCCGATTCGGTTACGCACCTGGGCCCCAACTCGCGCCGCGCACGAAACGCCAGGGGCTCGCGTGGGGAACTGGGCGCGGCCACACTAGCTAGTTAACCACAACTCGCGTCGCGCAACAAAAACTGGGGACCCCACGGTTCCACGCGCTTCCCCACGGTTCCCCACGGGTCCACGCGATTCCTTCCTCGATACTCATGGCTCACGCTCTCGCTTTGGCCTTTCTCACGATTCACTTGGGAATCACGCTATCGCTCGAGACCTCCTCGCGATTCGTGCAAAACTCACGCTTCAGCAACCCGCCTTCTCGACCTGGCCGCCTGGGCCCGCCTTCCCGACCCGCCCGCTGGGGTCTGCCCGCCTGATCAGCCCGTCTGGTTCTGCCACGCGTTCTGCTCCTGGCCCCCCCCCCCCCCCCCTGCAAATTTACCTCGTGCTCTATCCTTCCTCCCTCCCCCTTCCATCCGTCATCTCGTCCGCGGTCTGAGGGGCTGCGCTACATGCATGTGGCAGAAGAGGAAGTTTACCCCAAAGGGGGCACGATCGAAGACGAAGAGGGCGGGTACCGAAGGTTCGGGATATACGTGTTGAATGGTACGCGAGCAGATATGAGCGAACAGTCTTAAAATGATTGTTGTTGTTGCTGCTGTTTGTTGTCGTCGTCCTCGCCGGCGACCCCCCCGCGACCCACCCGCGCCCCACCACGAGCCCCACGCCGCGACCCACTCGCGCCACCCCGCGCCACCCCGCGACCCACCTGCGACCCATCCACATAACTTCGACGACTAAAAATTGGCGTCTGCGGCGAGCTCAATCAAAAATGTGAAACACTAGTCGGCGCCAGCGGCAAGTTTTTTCAGAACCTCGCAGACTGCCGACGACCCCGCCGCCCCCTCACTCTTATTCGCATTTGCGGGGTGCTACGTGCCGGCACAAACCAACATATACATACAATGAGCACTCGGAATCAGAACTTGTGGATGATGAGCCCCTCACAGAGGAGGAGAGAAGGGGAAGATGAGGAGGAGGAGGAGGAGAAGGAGGAGGAGCAGGAAGAGGAAAGAGAGAAGGAAAAGCCGAAGGAGGACGAAGAACATGACGAAGAGGAGGTGCAGATGGGAGGGAGAAGAGGGTGAGAAGGAGGAAAATAGATGAGGGGAGGCGGATGAAGACGAGGGGGGGTTTGAGGGGATGGAGGATGAGGAATGTTGCACAAACGAAACGAGCGCAGAGGGGGAAGACACAAAGGAGGAGGAGGAGAAGGAGGAGGAGGAGGAGGAGGAGGACGAGGAGCAGGAGGAGGAGGAGGAGAAGGGAAGGAGGGAATGAGGAGGAGGACAAGGATGAGGGCATGGATGGAGGAAGATGATGATGATGAGGAGGAGGAGGAGGACGAAGAGAAGGGGCAACAGCAGTAGCAGGAAGAGAGACAGAGAGAGAGAGAGAGAGCGACATTGAGGACCAAAGGAGGAATGGAACGAGCCGAATGAGCGAAGACAGCGAGGAGCAAGGTCCTGGGCTTCGTCGCCGGCTTCGGGGGCCATATCCTGCCCATGGAGAAGCTCCTCCTCTTCCTCCTCCTCCTTCTCCCCCTCCTCGCCCTCGCCCTCCTCCTCCTCCTCCTGCGCCTCGTCCTCCTCCTCCTCCTCCTCCTCCTCCTCCTCCTCCTCCTCATCATCACATCATCAGCATCAGCATCAGCATCATCATCATCATCGTCGTCGTCATCATCATCAGCATCATCATCAACATCATCATCGTCATCATCTTCCTCAACATCATTACCATCATCATCATCATCATCATCATCATCATCATCATCACCATCATCATCATCATCACCATCACCACCACCAACCACCACCATCATCATCATCATCATCAGCATCACCATCAGCATCAGCATCAGCATCATTCTCATCATCATCAGCATCATCATCATCATCATCACTATCACCATCACCATCATCATCATCATCATCATCATCATCATCATCATCATCATCATCATCATCATCATCATCATCATCATCATCATCATCATCATCATCATCATCATCATCATCATCATCATCATCATCATCGTCATCGTCATTGCCCTCGCCCTCGCCCCCCGCCTCCCCCTTGCCCCCCTCCTCCTCCGCCGCCTCCCTCCTTGCCTTTCGCCTTCTTCTCCTCCTCCTCCTCCTCCTCCTCCTCCTCCTCCTCCTCTTCCTCCTCTTCCTCCTCTTCCTCCTCTCCATCCTGGTTCTCGAAAGTGCCTTGCCCCTGTCAGGCTCCCGTTTGGGACTCTCCTCCTCCTGCTCCTCCCCCTCCTCCTCATCCTCCTCCTCCTCCCTCCTCCCTCCCTCCTCCTCCTCCTCCTCTTCTCTTCCTCCTCCTCCTCCTCCTCCTCTCCTCCTCCTCCTCTCCTCTCCTCCTCCTCCTCCTCCTCTCCTCCTCCTCCCTCCTCCTCCTCCTCCTCCTCCTCCTCCTCCTCCCTCCTCCCTCCTCCTCCTCCTCCTCCTCCTCCTCCTCCTCCTCCTCCTCCTCGTCCTCCTCCTCGTCCTCCTCCTCCTCGTCCTCGCCTATCTCCTCGAGGAGGAAGAACGGGCGACACGTCCGCGAGGACGCCTGGAGCGAATGCAGCGGACCAGCCCGCGTCGATTGTGCTGCCGTTTGCTGCAGGCGCTCCTGCTGTCCCGTCCCTCCAGCCGCTCCCTTCGAGGATCGAGGCTCGAACATCGAGGATCGAGGCTCGAGCATCGAGGCTCAAGCATCGAGGGTTCGAGCATCGAGGTTCGAGCATCGAGGTTCGAGCAGCGAAGGTTCGAGCATCGAGGTTTGAGCATCGAGGTTCGAGCATCGAGCACCGAGGATCGAGCATCGAGGTTCGAGCATCGAGACTTGAGCATCGAGGCTCGAGGCTCGAGCATCGAGGTTCGAGCATCGAGGCTTCAGGATCGAGGCTCGAGGTTCGAGTCTCCCGATTCGCTCGTCCTCCTCCCTTCCCTCTTTCGCCCCGCTCGCCGCGAGCCCAGTCGCCGCTGCACCAACCGCCACGCACGCCGTCGCCCGTGCGCGCCATCCCTCTCGCTGCTCCGAGCCTAAGAACATTAGACGAGCGCGCTCCACTACTCGCAAAGTGACTACTCGCAAATGGCCTGGATCCGCCGCGGGGGATCTACGATAAATTACATCGAGGAAGACAGGATTTGTGTCGGACGTTTGCGAGTAGGCACTTTGCAAGTAGTGGAACGCGCTCGTTGAACCATGTACAACATGTTCGTGCAGACTCGTCGCCTCGAAACCACAAACAAACTTGTTGTTGCGTCGGCGGCTGGGTAGGGGGGTCGCTGCTCCGGCCATGGGGCATCAGTGGGGCGCGCTAGATGCAACTTGGGCCGCGGTGCACGTGGGAAGAGGAGGAGGCCCCGGCGCAACGGGAGAGGGGAAGCCGGGCAACACAAACAAACACAAACATATATCACGCCAGCGAAGCACGTCCGCGGCTGCCTGGAAACATTGCTTCTGGAGCAGCGTGGAAGCAAATGTCCCCCGACGCCTTATCACTGGACGCGCTCTGACTTGAGCGTGATGTCTGGGGCAGCGTGGGACACACCCGTGTCCAATCGTACGCACTGGTTTCGAACGTAGCGCTGCTCACCGATCGCTCTGTCGCGTTAGCACGTCGGCCAACACTGTCCGATACACCCCCATTTCGCTACCGCCCGCAATAATTACACAATTCGCGAAACTGTCGTCGCTCCGACGCTTGGGATCAGAAGATAAGGCACTGTCAATATTGACAGAGTCCTTGCCGCGTCTCGGGACACTGGCGCGCCTCTGCTGGCACTTGCACGGGTTAGCTGTTTCCGTGGAGCCCGTACGGCCAAGGACCAACAAGAGAGATATATTTAGAGATGGACATTCGAATAGGTTACACGAGCCAAAACGAATGCACCTCGCTTCTCCTCCCCCCCAGGACGCGGGGGAGGGAAGCGTGGAGGAGGAAGGAGGGATGAGGTAGGAGGGATCCCCCGCTCTCTTCCCACCAAGGCCCTCCCCCCATCCACGCTGCCCGCTCACCCTCCCCATTTTCTCCGCCCAATGTATTCTACTATGCCGTCATAAAGATCGCCCAACTTTGAACGGCTGGCGCAGCGTGGCTGGCGCAGCGTGGATCAGATGTGCTCCGTTCGTCGCGCGGAGCCTGGTTCAATGTGACGGGAATGGCGCTGCGTCAGTGGGGGGCGGGTAACTGCGGGCGTGGAACTCCGATTGAAAATTCAATGAGTTAAATGGGATGGCAATTCCAAAGAGGCGAACCGCGTGGAGCATCCTCAAAAAAAGGCTCGAGCCGAGTTCCCCAAGTCGGTTCCAAACAATAGAAATCGGTTCCAGACAATAGAGAAACGAGTGTCCTGTGCGAGACTTCCTCGAAAACAAATTCGAGCCAAGCTCGAACTCGGTTCCAAACAATAGAAGCGTGAGCGTCTCGCACGGGACTTCCTCAAAAGCAAGTGCGAACCAGGCTCGAACTCGGTTGATCTTGTGTTCCTCTGCGTATTTCGTCATTCTTCTGCATCGCGCCCAAGAGCGCCACAATGGCAAATATTGGCAAAACGTTCATCACGCACGACCGTGCACTGTGACCGTGTCCTCCCCGCCTCTGCGCTACCCTCTCCTCCCAACCCCCCTGCCCCCATTCAGCGCAGCACAGAGAGGCAAGAGCCAGAGTCCTGGCCGCAAGCGCTCCGCATCGAGGCGAACGAACGCCCCGCCCCGTGCAACAAGGTAACGAGAAAGGAAACAGCAGGAGATCGCAAACAATTCGGACACGTAGGAGGGAGTCGGGGGAAAATGCACCACAAGCACCCTTTTCTCCTCCTCCTCCTCCTCCTCCTCCTCCTCCTCCTCCTGCTCCTCGTCCTCTCCGCTTCCTCTGCCATGCCAGGGATGCCTTCGCAGCACTCCCGATGCCGCTTCCAAGAGGCACCCTCGTCAGGGATGCCCTCAAAGAGATAGCGTTTGAGCCTGGTCCTCCAGTATTCCTCTCGTGCAGCATCTCGGAGCTCTTTCCTCCTTCCCTTTCTCCTCCCCCATCCTGCCCCCTCCCTGCCCGCCGCGCTCTATGCGAGGCATCGCCAGGAGTTGCTGCAGCATGGCTCCCCTCATCAGCCCTTGCGGTTTATAATCGTGCTCGCGCCTCAGCGCCAGCTGCCTCCTCCGTCGGGCCAGGGGCGCCCAGGCCTCTCCTAGGGCACACTTCGACAACAGAAGTGGAATCAAGTGGTTCGTGTGGGTATAACCCCTCCTCGCTGCTCCCTCCTCCCTCTCGGAGCCCAGAATCTCGAGGATGCGCCAGACCACCTCGCGCGTATTTTCTGAAAGCTCAAAATTGCGAGGATGTCTCAGGCGAAACGGGCTTGACCACCCCACGCACGTCTTCAAGAAGCCCAGAATTTCGAGGATGTTTCAGGCGAGACGCGCCAGACCACCTCGCGCGCAGCATTTCGGAGCCCCGAATTGCGAAGATGTCTCCGGCGAAAAGGTCTGTACCACCTCGCGTGAGACATCTGGGAGCTCAGAGTTCCGAGGATGTCCCAGGTGGCGCCCAGACCCTCATTCGTGTGGGTTTGACTCCTCCTCCCTCTCGGAGCCCAGAGTCTCGAGGATGGGAGCCCCGAGTTGCGAGGATGTCTCAGACGAAACGGGCGACCACCTCGCGTGCGAAATCTTGGAGCTCAGACTTCCGAGGGTGTCTCAGGCGTCGCCCAGACTTCTCCCAGAGCACAATTTGACAACAGAAGTGTAATCAAATGGTTCGTTCGGGTCTGACCCTCCTCGCTGCTCTCTTCTCCCTCTCGGAGCCCGGATTTTTGAGGATGTCTCAGGCGAAACGGCCCAGACCACCTCTCGCACGGCATCTCGGGGGTTAGAGTTTCGAAGATGTCTCAAACGAAACGGCCCAGATCACCTCGCGCGCGCCGTCCCGGAGGTCAGATTTTCGATGTCTCAGGCGAAACGGCCAATCCCGGACAACTCAGAAACGGGAGTTGTGAGCGTGTCTCGGGCGAAACGGCCCAGACCACCAGCTTTTTGCTGAGGCTGTCTCTGCTCCCCCATTCCCTTGGTCGGGGTTAGCTCCGATAACAACAGCACAGCTGCATACCCATGGGTCGGAAGAAGTAGGTAGAGACATGAAATAGGAAGGCGTTGAAGTAGATTGGCCTTCCGCCCGCCCCCTGAAGAGGAGGGAAGAAGGAAATCAGTCGATCCTTGAAGTAGGAAGGCGCCTGAAGTAGATTGGGATCTGGGAATCCCAAAGCACCTACTTTCAACGACCGATGGGCACACATGATTTCGCGGAGGTCCGCGCGGATTTCTTGCATCGGCGCTGGACCCTCTCCCCTGGCGCGCGGAGCAGGCCAGTGGCGGCGCCGGAGGCGCCGCCTGGGCGGCCCAGCGCGCCGCTCCGAGAACCCCGCGCGGACCTCCGAAAGATTGACAGCGGGGGCCCGACCACAAGAGACCTTGCACAGGAAGCCCAACCCTGAGACCCCAGGACGTCCATGGATTTGTGGTGTGGGAACGCCACGCTTCACACAGCAAAACCATCGAAACCGAAGAAACCCAGGGCACCCTGGAGGCAAGCGGGGTGTTTCTTGGCATTGGCATGGGCCTCCATTGTATGCATTTGCTCAAAGACGAAGCCCGGACGAAGATGAATTCGGGTGAGGATAAATCGAAAATCTCTGGGATCCGGAGGCTCTGGGGCATGTATCGGGCGCCGCTGCCTCCTCGGAGCGTTCCGGAACGCCCTGAGTGCGTTCCAGAACGCTCTGGAACGGATTTATCCTCGTCCTAGCCCCGTCCTATTGCTCAATCTTTCGGTGCAAACTTCTTTCATTCAACCAGCTCGCCGACCACCTCCCCTCGCAGCGCAGCCAGGCTGGGGACCCGCGCCGTGCACTCCCAGCAGCCCCCGCCGCCTGGTCGGCACCGCCGCCTGCCCCCGCCATCGTGTCCGGGGAGCTGGCCCGCCAGGCGGCTCCAGCGGGCCCCTGCCAGCCGTCCCCTGCCCCGACAGGTGCCGGAAACAGGTAAGCAGCAGTCACGCGCACCACATGGTTTGAACTCCCCCTTCTGAGGCAACCCATGGGAGCCTCCCATGCCGTCTAGCTAGCTCTAGCGAATCGACGCTAACCGACGCTGGGTCGACGCTAATCGGCGCGAGTCGACGCTAAATCGACGAACCGACGCTAATCGACTCTAGTGCACACTAAAGACGGAGTTGCGAGGGTATACAAGGCCCCCATGATTTGCTGTCAAATCCCCCCCTACCCCAGAATGCAATGCTGGTTTTGAATCTTACGAGTTTGAGTGTCCGAGCGGTAGCGCGTAACCGTGCGAACCTTGACTTGCTGGGGGGGGAGTGTTGCTTATGTGCTTCCCTCGACCCCAGCGCGCGCGGACCAGCCAGGTCAGGAGCGAGGTGGGGAGGGTGGGGGAGGGAGGAAAGGGGTGGGGCCTCCGGCAGCCAGAGCGGGGGTGGGAAAGGGAAAATGAATGGGGAAGGGCTGGAGGGTGGGACGGGAAGGGGTGGGGACGGGACTTTTTAGGCTTGTGGGGTGGGGCCTCCTCCAGCGTAGCGACCGCCTCCTGAACGCGCGGCAGGATGACGATGACGGCAGCGAGGAAGACGGAGCGGGGAGGAGGAGGAGGAAAAGGAGGAGGAGGAGGAGGAGGAGGAGGAGGAGGAGGAGAAGGAGAAGGAGGAGGAGGAGGAGGAGGAGGAGGAGGAGGAGAAGGAGAAAAGGTAGAAGGAGGAGAAGAGGGAAGAGGAGGAGGAGGAGGAGGAGGAGGAGGAGGAGGAGGAGGCGAGGGGATACGCTGTCGGAGAAGCTGGACCTGAAGCGAGGTCTTATTGTTTTGTTATCGTTCTCTCTGTCTCTCTCTCTCTCTCTCTCTCTTTCTCCCCCCCTCTCTCTCTCGTTCTGTCCCTCTTCCTCCCTCTCTCTCTCTCTCTTGCTCTCTCTCTCTCTCTCTCTTTCTCTCTCTCCCTGGCACGAGGTCTGTCGGCGTGCCGTGGGGCCGTGAGCACAGAATGGGCCCGCGCAAGCCTGAACGGCGGTGCGCACGCACGGCTGCGTGAGCAAGGGTATAGGAGGAGAAGGCCTCTAACGTGATGGAGGGGCAGGGGGAGGGGGAGAGAGAGAGAGAGAGAGAGGCAGCCCATAGAGGTGTCAAGAGCGCTCCTACACCTCCGGCCTTGCGCCGGGCTGTGGAAAACATTATGTCGTCATCAGGCGTCTGTCTACCGTTTGTGCTGTCCGCCTTGCTTTCTCGCAGCCGGCACCCGGCCTCCCTGCCGGGGCAGGGGGAGGGGGAGGAGGGGGGATCTAGGCGCCAACTTGGTACGCGCTAGGCAGATGTTTCCGGACGGTTGAGGGATTTCGACCAGGGCCACCTTGGTACAAGCTAAGTGGGTGGATGTGACACGCGAAGCGCACTTGCGCTTAGCGTGTGCCAAATTGGCCCTCTCTGGCACGCTAAAATTGGCTTCCAAACCGTGAGATGGCCCCTAGACCCTAGACGGTCCAGGACGGCCCCAGAGGAGAGCCCCAAGCGGGCCCAAGAGAGCCCCGGGAGGGCCTCGAGACGGCCCCCCAGAGCCCAAAGACGGCCAAAGACTGCCATAACACGGCCCAAGAACGTCTCAGGGGACAGACGAAACGATTACATGTGACGACATTCCTCTTCCTCCTCTTCTACCTTCTCCGTCTCCCCCTCCTCAACAACATCACGATCATGATGTTCCACATCGCTCTCGTCCAGTACGAGACTCCATTTCCTCCCACTCTCCTCCTCATCACCATCTTACTTACGTTCCTCCTCCTCCTCATCTTCCTCCCCGCCCCATACTGGGGGGGAGGGGTCACCGAAAGAAAGTCGTGAGGCCATCCCACGCCCGAGAGAGCATGAGAGAACTCAAGCTGCAAGACGTGGTATACCCTGGCGGCCTCGAGTGCTGACGCGGCGCACTCGCTGGGCGGCCAGCTGCTCTCGGGAATCCTTGGCCAGAACGCCGCGGCGCGCCCAAGTTGCGCGCCAGCCTGGCCAAGGAGTCCCCGAGAGGCCGCTGGCTGGGCCCCCTCGAGTCACAGAGGGAATTCGAGAGCAGAAACAAACAACAGCATCAGAAACACCCCGATACATAAGCGAAGCCGTTCCGTGAGCACCCCCCTGGAAGGAATCGAACAGGGTAAGGCTGCTTCGTAAACGCCCAGGGCCGTCTAACAAACGCCAATCACAGGCGCCGGGGTGGTGTCTCCTCCCTCGAGTTCGAGAGCCGCAAGAAAGCCGTCGGGCCGTTCTGCCCCCACGCGGGCAGCGCTTCCCCGCTCTGGTGTCAGCGGTGTCCGATCTGCTGGGCGGAGCGGCAAAAGCTTCGAGAGAGATCCCCGTAGCAGAAGCAGCGCGCAGTCATGGGGGTCGGGGTGGTGCCTCGAGGGGTGGGAGGCCACTCCTCGGCACCCATGCCGCCAAGGCCAGGCCTCCTCCCAGGAGCAAGCGCCTGGCAAGCCGATGGTGCCATCGAGGTATACGTCTGGCCGAACCCCCTTCTGACGACCTACCAACCCAACCCAACCCAACCCGAAGACCCGAATTTCGGGCTGGGGGGGTACGGGCTTCATTTGTGTTTTTTCAATGCTCCCAGACCCCCCCCCCACTGGAAATGGAGGGCAAATCGAGGCCTTCGGGCTGGGTTGGGGTGGTGTGGTGGGCGGTGACGAGGGTCCGCCGTCCGCGCGAAATCGATTCGCGCGAAAACTGCGGGCCGTTCGAAAGAAATTCGCTGGGCGCGCGCGCGCGCGAAAAGGACCCACCGCAGTCCAGAAGATGGCGGGAACCATGATTTTGGAGAGGTCGAGGCTGGAAAACCCCGAAATCCCGGTTCCCGGCTCTGTCTGGCGCCCCAGGGACCCACGGCGGCCTTCGACAGGCCGAGGCTGGAAAAGCTCAAATTCCCGGCTCCCCGCTCTGTCTGACGCTCTGGATGGCGGGAACCATGATTTTGGAGAGATCGAGGCTGGAAAAGCCCGAAATCATGGTTCCCGGCTCTGTCTGGCGCCCCTGGAACCCACGGCGGCCCAGAGGATGGCGGGAACCATGATTTTGGAGAGATCGAGGCTGGAAAAGCCCGAAATCATGGTTCCCGGCTCTGTCTGGCGCCCCTGGGACCCACGGCGGCCCAGAGGACGGCGGGAACCATGATTTTGGAGAGATCGAGGCTGGAAAAGCCCGAAATCATGGTTCCCGGCTCTGTCTGGCGCCCCTGGGACCCACGGCGGCCCAGAGGATGGCGGGAACCATGATTTTGGAGAGATCGAGGCTGGAAAAGCGAAATCATGGTTCCCGGCTCTGTCTGGCGCCCCTGGGACCCACGGCGGCCCAGAGGATGGCGGGAACCATGATTTTGGAGAGATCGAGGCTGGAAAAGCTCAAATTCCTGGTTCCCGGCTCTGTCTGGCGCTTCAAGGACCCGCGGCGGCCCAGAGGATGGCGGGAACCATGATTTTGGAGAGATCGAGGCTGGAAAAGCTCAAATTCCTGGTTCCCGGCTCTGTCTGGCGCCCCAGGGACCCACGGCAGCCCAGAAAATGGCGGGAGCCAAGATTTTGAAGAGATCGAGGCTCGAAAAGCCCGAAATCCCGGTTCCCGGCTCTGTCTGGCGCCCCAAGGACTCACGGCGGCCTAAAGGATGGCGGGAACCGAGGCGGGAACAAGGATTTTGGAGATCGACGCTGGAAAAGCTCGAAAACCCGGTTCCCGGCTCTGTTTGGCGCCCCAGGGACCCACGGCGGCCCAGAGGATGGCGGGAACCATGATTTTGGAGAGATTGAGGCTGGAAAAGCCCGAAATCATGGTTCCCGGCTCTGTCTGGCGCCCCTGGGACCCACGGGGGCCCAGAGGATGGCGGGAACCACGATTTTGGAGAGATCGAGGCTGGAAAAGCCCGAAATCATGGTTCCCGGCTCTGTCTGGCGCCCCAGGGACCCACGGCGGCCCAGAGGATGGCGGGAACCATGATTTTGGAGAGATCGAGGCTGGAGAAGCCCGAAATCATGGTTCCCGGCTCTGTCTGGCGCCATTGGGACCCCCCGGCGGCCCAGAAGATGGCGGGAACCATGATTTTGGAGAGGTCGAGGCTGGAAAACCCCGAAATCCCGGTTCCCGGCTCTGTCTGGCGCCCCTGGGACCCACGGCGGCCCAGAGGATGGCGGGAACCATGATTTTGGAGAGATCGAGGCTGGAAAAGCCCGAAGTCATGGTTCCCGGCTCTGTCTGGCGCCCCTGGGACCCACGGCGGCCCAGAGGATGGCGGGAACCATGATTTTGGAGAGATCGAGGCTGGAAAAGCCCGAAATCAGGGGTTCCAGCTCTGTCTGGCGCCCCTGGGGCCCACGGCGGCCCAGAGGATGGCGGGAACCATGATTTTGGAGAGATCGAGGCTGGAAAAGCCCGAAATCATGGTTCCCGGCTCTGTCTGGCGCCCCTGGGACCCACGGCGGCCCAGAGGATGGCCAATGATTTTGGAGAGATCGAGGCTGGAAAAGCCCGAAATCATGGTTCCCGGCTCTGTCTGGCGCGCCCGAAATCCCGGTTCCCGGCTCTGTCTGGCGCCCCAGGGACCCACGGCAGCCCAGAGGATGGCGAGAACCATGATTTTGGAGAGATCGAGGGTAGAAAAAAACCCGAAATCCCGGTTCCTGGCTCTGTCTGGCGCCAAAGGGACCCACGGCGGCCCAGAAGATGGCGGGAACCATGATTTTAGAGAGATCGAGGCTGGAAACCGAATTCCCGGTTCCCGGCTCTGTCTGGCGCCCCAGGGACCCACGGCGGCCCAGAGGATGGCGGGAACCATGATTTTGGAGAGATCGAGGCTGGGAAAACTCAAATTCCCGGTTCCCGGCTCTGTCTGGCGCCCCTGGGGACCCACGGCGGCCCAGAGGATGGGGGAAACCATGATTTTGGAGAGATCGAGGGGTTTGAAAGCCCGAAATCATCCGGTTCCCGGCTCTGTCTGGCGCCCCAGGGACCCACGGCGGACCAAAAGATGGCGGGAACCATGATTTTGGAGAGATCGAGGCTGGAAAAGCCCGAAATCCCGGTTCCCGGCTGTCTGGCGCCCCAGGGACCCACGGCGGCCCAGAGGATGGCGGGAACCAAGATTTTGGAGAGATCCAGGCTGAAAAAAGCCGAACTCCCGGTTCCCAGCTCCGTCTGGCGCCCCAGGGACCCACGGCGGCCCAGAGGATGGCGGGAACCAAGATTTGGGAGAGATCGAGGCTGGAAAAGCTCAAATTCCCGGTTCCCGGCTCTGTCTTGTACCAGGGACCCACGGCGGCCCAGAGGATGGCGGGACCCATGATTTTGGAGAGATCGAGGCTGGAAAACTCCGAAATATGGTTCGGGTATTGTAGGTCTGGCGCCCCTGGGACGCACGTGCGGCACATGAGGCATGGGGGACCCATTGATGTTTGGAGAGATCGAAGCTGGAAAAAGCCCGAATCCTGGTTCCCGGCTCTGTCTGGCGCCCCTTGGGACCCACGGCGCCCAGAGGATGGCGGGAACACATGATTTTGGAGAGATCGAGGTGGAAAAGCCCGAAATCATGGTTCCCGGCTCTCTGCTCTGGCGTTTGCTGCTCTGTGCTCTCTGCTGTTCTGTGCTCTCTGCTGCTCTGTGCTCTCTGCTGCTCTGCTGTTCTGTGCTCTCTGCTGTTCTGTGCTCTCTGCTGTTCTGTGCTCTCTGCTGTTCTGTGCTCTCTGCTGTTCTGCTGCTCTCTGCTGCTCTGTGCTCTCTGCTGCTCTGTGCTCTCTGTTGCTCTGCTGCTCTGTGCTCTCTGCTGCTCTGTGCTCTCTGCTGCTCTGTGCTCTCTGCTGCTCTGTGCTCTCTGCTGCTCTGTGCTCTCTGCTGCTCTCTGCTGCTCTGTGCTCTCTGCTGCTCTGTGCTCTCTGCTGCTCTGTGCTCTCTGCTGCTCTGTGCTCTCTGCTGCTCTGTGCTCTCTGCTGTTCTGTGCTCTCTGCTGTTCTGCTGCTCTCTGCTGTTCTGTGCTCTCTGCTGTTCTGCTGCTCTCTGCTGTTCTGCTGCTCTCTGCTGTTCTGCTGCTCTCTGCTGTTTTGCTGATCTCTGCTGTTCTGCTGCTCTCTGCTGTTCTGCTGCTCTGTGCTGTTCTGCTGCTCTCTGCTGTTCTGCTGCTCTCTGCTGTTCTGTGCTCTCTGCTGTTCTGCTGTTCTGCTGCTCTCTGCTGCTCTGTCCAAACCCGATTGGATTAGTTTTCGCTCGATTGGTTTTCGCTTGAACGGATTACCTTTTCGCTCGAACGAGCGTCTTTTCGCTTGAACGATCCACCCTCGGCGGTGACCTTCTGGGGAGGCCGTGGGACGGTTCGCAGAAGAAGGAGCCGGCTGCGTCGTCCCCCCGCATGCTCCCATGCTTCTCTCCATGCGTAGCACGGCTTCTGTCATCCTCCTGGTCCACCCCAGGACGACCTCTATTTTTTGGCTTTCCATACTTCTGCGGCTTTTGCGCCATGCTATCTGTCTTGGACGACACCCCTCTCAACTATTCACATCAGCATGCGGGATGCATCATTGTTTGAAAGTCACGCCATGAGACCTTTGGCAAAATCTGGACTACGAGCAAGGCCCGTGCCCGATCACACGGAACGGACGAAGGAAAGGCGCATGATTGTTTCACACCAGGACGACCTCTAATGATCCAAGATGAACTCAAGACGGCGGCGGTACGACACATGGCAGCGCCCTGACCGTTACTTCAATCGTCAAGGCGCACTGTGCCGCTGCCGCCGCTCGATTCCCATGTTCCAGCCTCATGCCGCCCCTCGCACAGTCGCCTCCGAGAGTACTGGGCTGGCACCGTGGAGGAACTTGCCGCAGGCAGCTGGATAGTAGTGCGCCCAACTGCGTGAAACAAGCGACCAAAAACTTCAGGACACTACGGGTGTTCTGCTCCTCCTCGTCCTCCTTCTCATCTTCGGTTTGCCGCTCTCCTCGCCCCTCACTCTGCGACTCCTCCTTATGATCATCTTCGTCCTCTCCAGCACCTCTCCGCCCCAACTCATGCCTGCTCATCAGCCACTGCGGGACACAATGATGGCAATGTAGATGGCTACCCCCCTCAGAAATTTCGATTCCGTAGACGTTGGCTACGTCTGGCGGGCAAGAACTTAGTTCCAGCGAGACCCTTCTGCGCGGTGAGAATGCGATCTGGAGGAGGAGCGATGGTAGCAGCCGAGTTTTTGTCCCAGGAACACGGCTGGGCACCCGATGATCTTTGGCAGCAGACAGAGCGCACGAGATCCCGCGAGTTCGATCAGATTTGGACGCGGGCCTAAGAGCGCGCCCTTCCCCCGGTCGGCGGAATGCCCCAAAGAGGCGATCTGGAGGAGCCCTCCGGCTTGAGGCGGCTGGGGGGTCTGAACTGGCCGGGATCCTGGAAAGTCGGTCAGGAGGAGGGATGAAGCCAAATCCACTCCAAATCGGTCCACGGACCCTTCCCGGAGTCCGTGTGGTGCAAGGTTTTCACCCCAGACCCGTTTTTGACGTTCCCGGGGTCCGAAAAAACGACCCCCGGAGGCCCCTCTCCCCCCCTGTCCCTGCCTGCTGGCCAGCACCAGTGCTGGGCCACCTCAGACCCCCAGCCGGCTCCAACCTCCTACAGCAATACGTTTCCTGAAGGGACGCCAGCGAAATAGACTTCTGAGACCGCAGCGTTGCAGCTCAGACTTAGGCAAGTGCAAGTGCGAGCGTCATGCGGCGACCTCGTGGGCGAAACCGAGCGGACTTGAGAAATCGGCATCGTCCGTCTCAAAAGTCCCTTCCCCTGGCGTCCCTCTTGGAATCCATAAAACAAGCCCCCCCCCCTGGGTTGGACCCTGCCCGTGGCTGGCCTGCTGGCACGCGCGCGAGCACGCGCGCGCGCGGCGCAGCGGAGCCCCTCGGCGCGCCCGTCCGGCCTCCTGGGGCTTCGGGCGAGGCGTTTGCGGCGAGAGCGGCGGGCTGGCCCCCCATCGACGCCGCAGCTGCGGCCAGGAGGAAGAGGAGGAGGATGAGGAAGAGGAGGAGGAGGAGGAAGAGGAGGAGGAGGAGGAAGAGGAGGAGGAGGATGAGGAGGAGGAGGAGGAGGAGGACGAGGAGGAGGAGAAGTTGTTTTTTCGAACTCGACCACGCACACACACACACAGACACCACCACAGGCCATCCTCGATACGCGCAGCTGCTGCCTGCGCGCAGGAGGGGCGAAATGATGACCTCCCCCGAGCAATGGACTGCTATAGCCCACCACGTCGGGAAGGTACGTTAATCAACAAGCCGTTCAGGCCCAGCTTCAAGCCAAACGCCCGAGTCGAGAGTGACAGCCATTTTCGGGTGCTTGCCTTGAACGATTCGCGACCAGGTGCAACGTCTGCCATGGTCAGCTGGTTCGTCATTCTTGGGGGGGGGGGGTGCCCGCGCATCTCTTCCTGAGGTTGTGGACTCTCCCCCCGCATGTGTAATACTTACACTTCAAACGGACTAAAAGCAATCCTTCACCATCACAACATTCAAACATAATAGGCTGGTGTCCAGCCTCAAACAACAAATCACCTGTTGAACCTTTGATAATAGACTCACCGCGGCAATAACCTCCGATGGGCCGAGAAACATTCCGAGAGGAACGCCAGCAGCCTCAGCACAACCAGAACCTGCCTTCCCAATGCCACTCGCGGCGAAGACCTGGTGGTGCCTTGGCCGTGGGCTGCGGCTTAAGCCGCACAACGCCATTCAAATTAAACCTGGGAAAAGATGGCATGACATCGGCAGCGAGCATACATACAAGCCTAGATATGAGTCGCTGCCTGAACAGTCTCTCGCGCTCGGCCTGCGAAGGCTGGGGGTGGCGCGAGGTGGCCTGTCGGGCGGCAGCGTCAGCTAGATCATTTCCGATCTTATGAAACGTCTGCTCATCAGTTAAATCGGGTCGGTCAAGCTGGTGCCCTTTGACCTTGATGATGTCGCCCGGATCCTGACCCAGCGTTCAAGAATCCAGCGCACGGTCGACGATGGGAGAGCTTGGCCATAATGGGCTCCAGGGGCTCCAGCGCTTGCCGAACTACATTCAAACAATCCGAGTATATAAAGGGGACCCCTCGGCCCTGCACTGGGCCGCCGAACAAAAGGCCGCAAACTCGGCAGCCTGAGGGGTCTTGGGAAAACGTCCAAAAGAGGTACGGAAATTCTAGCAAGATGGCCTCCATGGCCATCCAAAAAGAAAAACCGCCCAACCCGCCCTGGAGAGCTCTGGAGAGACTTCCCTAGAACCGGATCCGTCCACGAATATGTACCCTTGGAGGCTCGTAGAGGTACTGTTGGGGTCATGGCACCAGTGGATCTGCCATTTATTATCAGCGCCGTCAGCAGTCTGCCTCGGTTACAGATTCAAAGAGCCCACGGGAAATAATAAATACTCGGTTAGTTGGACCAGTGGATTCCGAAAGTTCTGGAGGTGGTCGAATGTGGTTGTACTTACCCAAAGCGTCTCCTCCCTGATCTTCGCAGGTAGGGAAGTGCCACAGACGATGGATAATGTTATCTTCAGCTGCCCCGCATAGCGGGCACAAAGAGTCGGACAGCTGGTAGCCAGCTGCTGTAGTTATCGCTCTTGTCCAGACTGCATTACAACATACCGCCTTGATGCAACCTCTCCGAAACGGGCTCAACCTCTTTTTCTGTAACATGGCATACACCTGATCATGGCACACAAGGACACGTTGCGGTAGATGGCTCAGCAACTGGGCACCTGATCTGCGCTCGTGGTATGCTTGGACGGCCAGGCGCAGGTGCCGATTCAAAAGTGCCGGCGAGATCAACGTCAGCGGGTACTGCACCCCCTTGTGGTCCACAATCGAAGTGAACGAGGGCATGTACCAACCTAACCTAGTAAGACTGAGCTGGAGGGCCCCTTATGGGCCCCAGAGCGGCCCAGGGCTCCAAAACACACATTCCCAAGCCTCACGGATCTCGGTCCAGGACAGGGTGAACTGATAGCTTCTGCGCCGAAGGGCCCAAACTTCCTTGGCATACCCGAGGATAGGGGCCACTGGCCCGTAGAACGCAGGGTCTCGATTCAGGATCAACGCAGACGCGAGGGACCTGGAACCCGACTTCGGACGAATACATCTGCCGTATGACGCGCGGGCCCTGGCCCACTCGTAGTCCGAAATTCCATGAATGTCAGCCCCGTAATAGTACCCATGGAGAGGTCCCGTGATGAACAGCTTCCTGGTATGTCGCCCTAAGGTCTGTTGAAACTTTTGCAACCTTCTGGTTTTCGTTTTCAAGGTAAGAGGCCGAAGCTCGAACGCGCGCGAGCAGGCCTTGGCCCGTCTGGGCCTTCCACTCGTGTGGTCAATCCCCAAGTTGGCTGCAGAAGACATGACTTGGCGTCCAGCCAAGGACCCTATGCGCTTGCGTAATGCACTGATGACGTGCTTGTCGGAAGAGACCAGACACGCCTTGTCTTCAGAAATTGTGCTGCCTAGGTCGTGCACAACCAGCTGCTCCGAGTCCTTGGCAGCTCTGGGTGAATCAAAAATAACTTCCGGGGTGGGCCCATCAGCACTGATTCCGCAATCATCGATGACAATGTCGAGGGAGACTTGCGGGGGTAACCCAAGCTGATCTAGAGGCTCGATGATGAAGACACGAACGAGCGTAGTAGCGAACGAACACCCTGCAATGGCGGGAGGGACCCCATAGGCACGACATCGACCACGAAGCAACGATAAGTTGACTAGTTCGAAGCACTTGTAGAGGCCCCAGAAAAGCGTAGCTGAGGTCTGCCCTCGGATGACTTCTGCCTCGGCTCGAACCGTCTGGCGCCAGACCACGTCTGTGCTAGACGAAAACTTCGCAGCTGCAAAAAAAACCTCGGGTTCTGTTCCTTCTGGCTTTACCCCGTAACCGATATATAGGACAGAACGCGCCGATCGGGCGGAATCCGCCCGTGGCCTTGGCCAGTAGAGACAGCGTCACAGCACTGACTTGAACTGGTAATAACCTGGGTACTTCCATCGAGAGAAAAATACTGGCGAACGCGCGGAGTGATCCGTCTGACAGTTGCCAGTAGCGCCGCATGTGGAATCCGTCAATGGCCGTAGCTGCGTGCCTCGAAAACTTCTTGCTAGCGACTCTGATGTCGTCTGGCATGAGGCGATCCAGTGCTGTCTGTGGCTCAAACATGTCCAAACGTCACTGGAGGTGGCGGCACAGTGAAATCTGCACTTCGCAGGCTGGTGAATCGGGAATATTCCGCATCCAATGGGGCCTGCGGGTCCGCGACAATATTGCCCGCGTCGTTGAACGCGGTAGTAGGTATCCATGGCGTGAGCCCGCGTGCAGCTCGATGGGCCTGCTTTGCCCTCTGCTCAACACGGTTCAATAGCCATGATCTCCGCCCCTCTGGCGCCTGCAGCTGAGCAATAGACTCCGCTGCCGCGAGTGCAACATCCAGCATCTAAAGAAACAGCCCAAGGGATATCTGAGCTGTCGCCGCTGGCGTAGGCGCTGCATGTGCATCTGAAATAGGGCCCCACGAACCACCCATCGTGGTCCGTAGAGGCACGTCGCGGCTTTCCTGGCAAATGCATGATTTCGATAGGCGGATATGGAAGACATGTGGGGACGAGGAAACAGCTCCAGGTGCGCTGCCGTAGAACTTGTGGTAGGCTTCATCTGTGATGGCGCTGTTGGCGCCCGAGCCTGCGTCTGCGCCTCCCGACTGATACCACCGAGCAGCGTCGCTGCCACACGGGCCGCCGCCGAGTGGTGCCTGGGGCTGCGCTGGCTCGGGCACCATGGGTCCGCGGGGAGCGCCCCCGACCTCGGCGTCCACAGCACGGGCCGACATATGAACAAGTGGTGCCGAACTCGCCGATGGGTCCTTCACAGCACTGCCACGTGCACCGTCGGGCACGGTGGCGACTGGGATGCCCGTTGATCTGGAAATCGAAGAGGGCTGGAAGGTGTCCTGCCCCTGTAAGAGTTCAGGCTATAGCAGCTCCGCAGGTATGATCAGCTGTTCTAACTTATCCGCTGGCAGCTGCTTGCTGACGCGCAGGATGGCTCTACACCACCGTTCCTGCTGCACGATCGCTTGAGATAACAAGTTCGGGCGGGCTCTGTAACGCATCTCGAATGACGTCGGCCTGGTGTCGTTGATTTCCCTTCAGGCAGGTGATGGGCAACTTGAACTTAATCGACATCCGTTTCAAAGCATGCAAATCAGGGTGCACGGTGGGTGGCCGACGGTCCTGATCTAGAATTTGCATCAAGTGAAGCTGTGGTGCCTTGCCTCGAGCCCCTGTGCATGACAAGATGGTGCCCGAGGCGCCCATGAGTTCCGTCTCCAAGAAACTAGCCCACTTCTTATACAACTGGTTGAGTTTGCGCTGCACGAAAACGCCATCCCCCGAGTGCACGATCTCTTCGAGCGCCTGCGCCCCCTCCAAAACCTCGTCCCAGTTCGGCAGTTTCGGGGCGGGTCCCACGGGGTCAAAAGGCAAAGGCGGGGGGCGTCTAAACTTCAGCGCATAAAGCTGGGCCAGCCGCGGGTAAAACTCAAGCTCGACTGGGGAATGGGAGGGGGGGGGGGGGGGGGGGGGCGGATGCTGGGCGCATGGATGGCCTTCCGAAACAAGAAAACAGCCCAGCACCTCAGCCGCCCCCCCCCCACCACCACCACACACACACGCACACTCCCCGCGGTGGCGCAAGTGCCTTCCGCGTCATTCGGATACCTCACGCGACCTCTCGCGCAGGAGTCTAGCGTCGTCTCGCCCAGCTGCTGCGGCGAAAAATAGAAGCCACCTCCGAGAATGCAAGGCCCCCCCCCCCCCTCACGTCGAGCGCCGTGGCTGCGTGCAAGAGGATAGCCAGATTCGCGTCTGGGGGGCCCTGCATGTGGCGCAGGTAGATCTAACACAAGAAGCAACAGTCACCTTCTGGGATGTTGAGCATGGCTCCTGAGAGCCGACCTGGGCACAAGACGTGGCCTCCAGGGGGCGCGCTTGAACCCTGGGCGCTCCGACTGAGGGCCCCCGCCCCGCCGGCCTGCAGCTCCGTCTAACTCGTTGCCTGGCCGATGGTGGTGCTCTTGAAGCAATGTGATGTTAGCTCCCGTGTGTGGCAACCATCTCTGGAAAGACCTCCACGACGTGCAATTGACTGTTTCCAATACCATAGAGAAGGGGATCTCTCCGGGGTCGGGGGGAGGGGGGGGGGGTTCTCTAAAAAGTAAAAGGGTGAGAGCGGGCCGGCGAATCCTAAAGGGCGAGGCGTGTTTTCCCAGGGTGCCTGGAGCCTGGGGCAGCTCCTCCAATGCCCGTGGGCAAGCCCTGGGGTCCGTCAAAAAAACTTGAAATAGAGCCCTGGGTCGTTCGCCAGGGAACATACCAGACGGCCCCGAAGATGGTTGCACCACACCTCCGAGCCTGGACCCAAGAATTCATGAATTCTACCCCCCCCCACCACCACCACGTCACACGACACGGTAGGGCGGCTTCGAAAGTTCTCTGACTTGGGCCCTGTGGCACCAAGGGTTCTGCCGCCTGCAGCACGGGCCCGCTCACGCACATCAGAACTTGGATTGCTGCCAGCCGCTGGAGCACTGGGCGCCCTCCCCTCGAAGGACACCTTTTTGTCTCCACCTGTTGCTGGTGCTGAACCTGAGGAAGGCGTCGTCGCTTGTGGGGAAGTGGGTGCGCTGTCTCCGTTGGGTCCTTTCCTTTTCTTGTCAAATCTCTGTGCATGCTTGGATGCTTGTCCTTGATGTTCTGCATCTGCTTGACGGCACCTCCGAATCACCCCTAGGCAGTATGCTGGATCTGGTTTTGCAGCGCCATTTTGCGTTGCTCGATGTTCTCACGATCCTTAGCAGGCAATGCGAACTCATTATCAGCAACATGAAAGTACGGATCCACATCAATAAGAGAAGCGAGGTCCTTCGAGCCGCCAGCCACATCCTGAACGTTGATCTTCTCTGGTTGCGACGCAGTCGGGCCTCCCGTCTGCGCCAGCTGCGTGACCAACAGCTGGTATTCACGGTCCGCTGTAGCCAAACGGTCCGAGATCTCCTGAACTGCTGCCGGCTGCGTACGGTACCAACTAGCATACATGTCGAGTTTGGATAATTGTGCCTCCCGTGCAGTCTCCAAATGTGTGACTCGCTGATGGCAATTTGACATCCTGGTCTGGAGGGAGGGCTCAACTTGGCCTTTGCGCAGCTCTTGCAATTGCTTCTGACATTTGGCCGATGCACTGGTATCTCCCGCCTTCTTCTTGGAGAGCTCGATGAGTTGCTCGAAATCCTTCTCCGCGATGGCGGGTTTGTCGCTGTCTTCCAAATATGGATGCAGCTGTGACTTCCCAACCACAGACAAAGGCCTAGAACCACCGCGCCGACGACGAGACCCTGGATCGATAATCTGTTCCACATTTGTAGTCGGCGCTTCTTTTCTGGCTTGCCTGCAGTGTTTGCAAACATCCCAACCTTGAAGATTATTCTTGCACCCGCTGAAGGCGCATGACCATTTCTTCTCATCAGGCAGTCTGGATGGAGCGCGTCGTGCACGCCAGGGTCGTGTTGGGTCGTCTTGTTGGGCTCCCCAGCGTCCATGGCCGTCACCGCCCGCCCGTTCTGATTCTCTCCACCATTGCGACATCGCCCACTCTGACCGAGTAAGAAAAGCGCAGCTACTGGTGGGAAAAAGGATCGCGGGCGCCACCTGCATATTGTAGCCTGGAAAAATGCAGGCGCCACCTGCTCGCGGTAGGCTGCAAAGCCGAAGCCAGAAAGGCTCGGTCGCGCAGCGCCGTTCTGAAGTTCGCACGACCAAGCTCATGATCAATCTGGGCCAGAACGGCTGAGGAGGAGGAGGAGGAGGAGGAGGAGGAGGAGGAGGAGGAGGGGGATGGGGGAGGAGGAGGAGGAGGAGGAGGTTGGAGCGTCCGGGGGGCAACGTCTTCAAGCACTCTACTGCCGACGACGCCACAGACGACCCAATTGGCCGAGAGGCAGCTCGACGGCTTGGAGGGCGGCTCGAGCCAGGCTTTGGGCGGCCTCCTGAGAGAACGGGGGCGGGCGGGCTTTGCTCTCCTGGTGGGCCAACCGATAGAGATGAAACTAAAAGGCAGTCAGTGAATTTGAACGTCTCGGGGGCGGGGTGGATCAGTCCCAGAGCCAGGAGGGGGTCCAAAAACGGGGGCGCGGGGAGGTCAGCTCTTAATTGTCTTCGGGCGAGCATATACATCGGGTCGCACCAACAAAAGTAATGCTTTAAAGAGTCGCGAGCCCCAGGACAGCCCCAGACGCACCGCCTATACGGGTTGCGCATCCTAGACTCGGTGATCCAGCCCCCTCCCCACGACTTAATGCAAGCGCTGCGCCGGGGCGGCGGGGTGCGATGCATCGCCGCGGCGACGGCCGACCAGTCGATCGCCTCAGCGTCGACAGCGCGGACCCCAAACCAGCGTTGGAGACGCTCTTGCAGGCGGAGATGGAGGCGCGGGAGCCGAGAACCGGAGCGAAGGGACGAACGGAGGAGGAAGGAGTAGAGGAGGCGCTGTGGCCGCACACGCCGCAGGTGAGCAGGCCGCAGGCCGCTCGCCCCCTGCAGCTGGGCTGGTGCGCCTGCGGCGGGCCTCGCAGGAGGCGGCCGCCTGGAGGGCGCGCGCAGCCGTCGCGCGGGGGCTCGTCCCGCGGCTCGACGCCGCTCTTTCCAGCGTCGCCGCGATGGCCTCAGATCGCCACCAGCTGGGCCACGGGCAGCCACGGACCGTCCGCACCAAGGGCAGGTGCCGCAGCGCAGCCCAACGGAGCTGCCTCGCAGCCGTGCGCCAGGAGCCCAGCGTGACCGCCGCCGCCCTCACGAGGGCTGCCTTGCACAAAGTCGTGGCGGACGGGGTCTGCGGGCCGCCGACGGCGTCGAGCTCGTGCCATTCCCCGTCGCCCAGGAAGCTGCCTGGCAGGCGCAGCAAGTGCGCCAGCCTCCCCCGTTCGAGCTTCTTCAAGGAGGCGGGGGCCTCCATCATCTGTGCCTTGTACGACAGGACGGGCACGCAGCGCTCCTTGCACAGGTGGATGGCCGCATGCACGTCCGAGCGGCTCCTGGAGATCTCCCCGACGCGCTCGGAATACTTCCTCACCGGCGCGCGCCATTGGGCCTCCTGCGTGACCCCAGGGCCCAGCAGCGCGCCCAGATATTCGAGGTGGTCCACGATGGGGAACGCCTCCCAGTCCTTGTCCGCGGCCACCAGGGAGTCCCGCGCCCGCTCCTGCTCGCCAGCGCACTGCGGGTCACCCAACGGGATGGCACGGCACTTCGCAGGCTTGATCACCAGGCCCGCCAGGAGCTTCGCGCCGCGGAAGACGCGGGCCAGCGTAAGCAGCCCACGGTGGGCCATCACCGCCGCGCCCAGGTCGTCGGCGCACCACCTCGAGATGCCCCTTAGCTTGGAGTCCAGGTTGGCCTTCAGGTCCTGCCCGAACGGATGGACGGCGAGGACGAACAGCGCGCTGCTGGCGGGGCCGCCCTGGAGGATGCCCGAGCGCACCGAGTAGAGCGCAGCCCTCGTGCGTGAGGCCGCGAGGGAGACGACCCCATCGTAGTTGACCTTCAACGCGTCCTGGAGTCCCTGGGGAGCGGCCATGGCGCGCAGCGAGCCGAAGAGCCAGTCCTGCGCGATGCTCGGGAAGGCCTGGCCCCAGTCGAAGGAGATGAGGAAGGGGGAGTCGCCATGCCCCGCAGCCATGGACAGCACGCGGGAGTGCGCGTCGAGCTCGACTATGTTGTCGCAGAAGTTGCGCCCGCATATGAAGCCGCGCTGCGTGTCCACGCAGTGCCGCTCCGCCACCCTCTTCATGCATGAGTTGAGGGCCCACATGACGGCCTTCTTGGAAGTGTTCTCCAGCGCCAGCGGCCGGGTCTCACCAGCGCGCCTGAGGATTTCTTGAGGGTCATCAGCACGCGTCCCCTTGGCGGAGAAGACGGCGATGGAGTAGTTCCACTCCTGGCGCATGGGTGGGCCCTCAAGCTGCCACGCCATTGTTTCCGCCAGCGTCTCGACCCCCAACGGCGCGGCGAGCCAGGCCTTAGCGCCGAGGCCGTCTGGGCCAGGTGCCGACTTGCGGGCCCTGCGGAGCGCCAAGGCCACGGCGCGTGCCGAGGGGGGCTCGATCGAGGCCCAGTCAACTCCTTGGATGCCATAGCGTCGGAGATAACCATCTTGAAGTTCCCGTCGACGCTGAACAGCACGAGGAGGATCTCGTGGGAGGGGTACCATGACGCCGTCCTGGATGGACATGGGGGCGCCGCTTGTGCTGGAGGCAAGGTTGCGCATCATTTCCTCCGCGGACTGCTTCCGTTTCACCACGTCGTCGCCGAAGACGCCTCGCCAGTAGTTCGCTGGCGCCCTCTGGATATCCTGCTCCGATCGCGCGACTGTGCCATCATCCAGCTCGATGCCCCCCAGGAAACGTCGTGCCGACGACGGTGCCCAGATGGCCGCACGCCGTCGCAGGGCCCTCTGCTGTCTGACCAGCGCTGCCTTGTTTGACTCGTGCCGCCCCCCGTCAATGTCATGCTGACGCTGGCGGAGTATTGCTTGCAGCTCGCGGTGTTGCGCCAAACGGTAACGTCTAGAGAATTCCTGAGGGTCGAGGAGCACCACTTGGGCTCTGCCATGCCCTGGGTTACTGCGAAGCTCGATCATCTGGCTCGTCCATGCATGTTGGCGCAGTAGGGTCTCAGCCATCCGGATGTCCTGCTGCGATATCGCTCGACCAAGTTGTCTCCAGATCAATGCCGCCGGCGACCGCAAGCCAGGCTCCCCACGAATAATGGCATCACGGGTGGCGGCCGCTGCAGTCTGCAGGATCTTCGCGTGGTAGTGCACCCGATCAG